CACATCAGCGTAGTGGAGAGCCATTCGACATGACCAAAATAAACTTGCCAATTTTGCAGCATGTTGAATAGCACTTGCAGAGGGTCTGCATTTCAGCGCCGCACCAGAGGAGGGAGGCGACATACCGAGCTGTCTTGTCGGGACAAATTATTTCTCCATGCTTTCCCGACAGATGATGGAAATGAATATCATGTCTTCATTCTCACGCCTCTGAGAGCCCCCACCCCCTGGCTTTCTGTTTTACGTAACAGCAGTGTGTGACTCAAGGCTACATCTGAGGTTGTGCGAGGGGGCCCGTGACCAGAAGGGGCTGCGCAGTCAAGCGTTATCGCCCCACCGAGAGCGCCGTGGTGCCTTTGAGCCGCTGTTTGCCTCATTAGATCACACGGATCGAGGCAGGTGCAATCACTTTTACAGCAGCTGAGAGAACAGCATCCATCAGTGGTGCACCGATGACCCTTTGACCCAGTCGCATCGGAACCGCTGAGGCAATTCATCACTCATATTGGCAGCTTCAAAGAGAACCATCCTGCAGAGGGGCAATGAGATTATCTCCTTCATACTAAATGTCCTAAGCGTTCCTGACACGTCCTCTGAACTGCCGTGCGTTTATTCCGTATTGTTTACTGTGGCATGTTTAGGTCCTGCTGCCATTTTCAATGCCACACATGTCATGCCAAGTTCATTTTTCTTCTAAACTTGGTCTGTAATGAGATGAATGACAACTAAACCACTTGACTCGACTAGACTGAGTGTTCAGTGATTTACAGAGCTGAGAACGAATTCTCCAATTCGAGAGCAATCTGTGTGCCTCCTTTCACATAACTGCACACAACCACATACCAATGCATTCTTCTCTGCCCTCGAACTGTAGATGTCAGAAACAAAATAAGGTTTTATGCAGACAGGAAAGCAACTTCATGTGATCAATGCAGAAATCCGATGATTCATATACTGTCCAACATATAGGGGATACATCATGCGTTTAGGATCATTACGTTTGTTTTTTCCATTGTGATATTGTTTTAGGACAAATAAGCTAATTCAGTGCATCTGATTATGTCTCTCTTACTGTTCCAATTACTTTTCCTTAATATTTTTCAATACTGTAAAATATTTTTACTGTCTTACAGTAAACAATTATGTTATACAATGCTTTTTTCAAAGAAAAAAAGTTAATTTAATAAAAAATAAAGATGATGCAACAAATAATCTACTAGTATGATGAATAAAAAGTTTTAAAAATAACATTTTACTGTCGTACAGTAAAAATATTATTCAATTGTTTTATTTTATTGTAAAAAACAAATTGTGCAACAAATAATCTACTAGCATTATGAATAAATACTTAACACCTTTTTTCACATGGTATTAATAACTAAGTATTTTATATTACAATAATGAGAACTGGGATGTAAAATGTACTTAACTTTCAAGAAAATAAATAATCCTAATCGTTCTAAAAATAGGCTTCATTTTCTATATGCAAAATACAATTTGTTTTGTGGAGTGAAGTATGACTGGGGCATCTTTTTGTATTTTTAGTGAGATTCTCCTACATACCTTATATACTAAAAGAATGTATGTGGCATGGTGTACACCATGGTGCTTCAATAAACTCCAAGACTACCATGGTACATGTCCAAAAACATGGCATTGCCATTGCTATGTTCAAAAACCTTGTCAACAGCATGTTCATTGCAGTACAATGGTATTATTTCCTTCTAATATAACCAGGTAAGAAAGCAAACAGCAACAATTATCATGTTTTGATTCTGCAAGTGGAAATATTACTCAAATCAAACGAGAAAATGCTGATTATGTGTCGCTGTCCGCGGTGCTGAATGTCATTCGCAAAACGGAGCAGATACAGATTTTGATGCGTTACAGACTCGATTCACGGCGCCAGCTGCAAATATCTTCAGCTCAGGACTATTTTTAGTCTTGAAGCATCAAAATTGGTGTCTATTCACGTCAGCTCTCTGCCTGACGCAAAGCTTCAGTGTCCACAAATGAACTTCCAAACAGCAGACACACACTTCAAGCCTCTGTTAGAGCAAACGTGCACCAATCACCACATAAACGCTCATATTGTAAGTTTTTGTGAAGTGAGAAAATGAACATCACAGCAGCATTAATATCAGTCTTAAATCGTCTACTTTAGAGATCCAGCAAATCTTCAGAGATCTTTTTAAGAAGCGTCTTAAGGAAATGCCAGCAGACATTCAGTGCAACCGAGAATCCGAATTGCGGCGCATGAATTCGCAACGAACGCTCATAAAGCCTCATGAACAGCGGCAGCCACATGCACATCGTTCCTCCAATAAAACATTTGCTTTTAGCTTCAACAACTCACACCTAAAATAAGCAGCCAGCAACCATTTCTGATCAGCGCACATGCCAACAGAAAATCGCTAGCATGCTTCGCAACATCGAAAGACTCGAAAATTGCTCTAAGTGGTTTGCAATGTAAGTAATAAGAAAGACCGTGCAAGGGAATATTAAGATATCGCTTCAATATGAAGGACTGAAGTCTGCTGAATTATGACCATGCTCAGTTGAGAATAATACAAAATTAAAATTAAATAATAATAATAATAGTTATCTTAAACATGGCGAGCATTTTGAAAGCAACATTTGCAGGAGAGTATCTTGACAGAGTCTCTCTCACCGTGTATCTGCTGTCTTCACTCCATCAGAGCGGCTGATTTCAGCCCGAGAATCCAGCTGCTGTCTGCTGATCCCCGTGTCTTACATCCCGCACATCACCTCTCCTCCTGCGACCGAGAGTTTGGGAGACTCTGCGGGGGCGTGGAGTGGGCAGTGAGCTGATGCGAGGCTCCCACGATCACGCACAGACGCACTGAGGTGAGGTCCAGCTTCACCGAGCAAACACTGACGGACTGACTGACTGTTCACATGCACATGACCATCTCTGCTTTCCACTAGGGGGAAACTTATTAGATTATTTCAATTCTTTGATCATTTTAAGTTTATCATTGTATGATTCGCTGATTTAAAAAAAAAAAAATTTATGCACCCCTGCATTTGTGTGCCATAGTGTGCTGTTTCTCACAAGTAGATGTAGAGAATTTGATGCAGAAAATTTACATGAGTTTACATTAATAATAATAACAGTTTTGTCTAAGACATAGACAAAATTTAGCTTGTTGTGATTTGATGCATGATAACATTTAAGCAATGTGTGTATGCTTTACATAGCCAAGTTAAGGCTGCTCTGAGCAGGCTCTGTGCCTGCTCTAAATTCTGCGTAAAGACGCAATGGCGCATTAAACCCATGCAAAATATAAAATATGCCAGCCTTGACCCACTTAAGCACCCAGTGATGAATGTAAATGATGCAGCATTGGTGCAGCCTGTTGTTGTCATGACAGAGCATTTATTTTAGAATTTAGCATGTTCTATATTCAGAATTTTATTTTTGAAGTACTTTAATAACATACTTGTGCAATCTGTGTAAATGCATGTATGCAGCCTCTATGCCAGCTTTGCAGAGTAAAGACGGCGTGTACTAGGTCAATTTAACGTTTAAGCTAAAATGCACTTAACACACATTTACAGAGGAGCATATTCTCCCTCAACATAAATCTGGATTTTTGCTTGACTTTTTTTCTTTTTTGGGGGCTAAATATATATCAAGGCCCTCTCTGCAAGAAAGCAGGGGGTGTGAAACAATTCTCAGACTGCATAAATACTAATTCAGTGACTATAGCTATTATTGAACACAGTTTCTATGGCAACTGATTCAGTGGATTCCGACAGAAGCGTTCCCACGGTGACATGCACATGCTGCAGGAGAGAGAGAGAGAGAGAGAGAGAGAGAGAGAGAGAGAGGTTATAGTAGTGAATGTGCTCTTGCTCTCCGTGTTTAGACTTAAATTATAGTTTGAATATTATGTCCCAATACTTCAATTAATGTTTTTAGGTTTTATGTTATGTTTTGTTTAAATGAGGTTACCTTACTAAAATCAGCACATGCCTAATTTCTGTCTCTCATACTCACACACATATTTTCTGATTTTGACGGGGGAGGCTGTGAGTCAGCAATATCACGGTTAGTTTTCCTTTCATTATTTTTTCTCTTTTTTTAACAAATGCAGATTTAGCTGAATTTCAACTGTTCTCCGGTTTTCCAGAAAAGCATTTCAGTGCTGTGAGCAGCTTCATCTGAACAGATGGGAATGGAACTGCAGTGATAAATTATGGGTGCTTTTGGACTTTTAGAAAATAGACTTAAAAAACAACAACTTTTTTTTCACTCTCATTATTTTATAACTTTTGTCTAGTAACAAAGTCAAATCATGGACACACATGCATCACAGGAGAATTGTGTGATTTTTCTGAAACGTCATAAATATTTGATATGTGATGGAAATGTTTGTGTTTGATACTATTCTAAAATGACATTTTAAACATCTTATATACTTTTTATGTATCCTATAAACACATTTAAATAATATTTTCACACTTTTTCTTCACAATTTGACAAAATTATAGCTTGCTGCACAATAAAATATTCACCCTCATTTTTCTTTACACATTACATGTAATGTCAATCATGATCTTCCCCGACACTTGTGTGTTCCTGGCAACCAAGTACATTAACTTTTGAGAAAATTTTATAATGAGGCAAACTGTTGGACATGACAGAAATTACATTTAACCGTCAGACAGTCATAGTTTTCGGATGAAAAAAAGCAATTTCACCAAGTTTTATAGTAAATAATTCACATTTTTTTAGATCACAGATTCAAACGTAATTATTTATTTATTTATTTTTTAGTTTTAATACAAATCAGCCCTTGGGACATAATATAATTTTTAAAAATCATATTTTTGCATTTGATCCTCCATCAGAGCAGTTCAAATGAACATTTTTTTGTTAGTTCTGCATGACTTTAATTTTAATTAGGATAAATTTAATTTAACAGCAGACAGAAGCGGAACCATAAGTGATAGCGCGCTCGTTTCTGGCAGGAACATTTTCAGCAGCGGGCGAAAACAAATGTGCAGATGTTTGGCGTGTGATTTTACTGCTCAGTTCTACATCAGTAAAATCAGAATTTCCATGAAAACCAACTGCGTGTAATATTTACGGATTATCCAGTAAATGCTTTGCACAATGAAATTAAGTTTTAAATAGAGAGGGATTTTGGCGGAACTTTGTGAGTGAACGAGGCGTTTAAATATTACATTTCGGTTTAAACAAATACATAATAAAAAAAATACACACACATATCACACATATATATATATATATATATATAAAGTAAACGGTGTAAAATATTTACATCAGTTTGGTCTAAATGTCTATTTTTGTAGCGGAATTTAACTGCGTGAGTCATATGATTGAAATGAAATAAATAAATCTGTTAATAATGTGATATGTGGTGATTGTGTCTCAGATAATGGCAGGAAGGGGCAGAGGGCACCGCACTTTCTCTGTGGAGATTGTTGGAATCGGAAAAGGAGAAAATCTCCCTCCATCCTCCGTCCAGCCGACCCCTCTATTCCCTGTGAGTGTTTCAAGATAGAATAAAGCCTCATCGGACTGATACTCATCATATTACATTACATCAATGCACTTGGCAGACGATTTTATTCTAAGCGACTTATATTGTATTCATTGTACTTGCATTACCTGAGAGTCGAACCCAGGACTTTGGCGTTGCTGGCATCACGCGCTACTGTTGGAGCTACAGAGATCTCAGCTAATGACATCCTCTCCTGTTCAACTGTCACATGTAGAGTGGCCCCAAAAACTGTAAAACAAATACAAAAAATGTCTGAATGTCATCACAACAAATTATTAAAGTGGCATTTATTTTAAAGGATTTGTTCACTTCCAGAATAAAAATGTCCTGATAATTTACATCCAAGATGTTCATGTCTTTCTGTCTTTAGTCGCAAAGAAATTAAGGTTGACTTCAATGATGGCCAACGGGCTGAAGGTCAAATTGGTGTTTCAATGCAGCTTCACGATCCCAGCCGAGGAATAAGGGTCATTTTCTAAAAAAAAATACAAATGTATATACTTTTTAACCACAAATGCACGATGTGCGTCTGCAAATTCACGCATTATGTAATCACATTGGAAAGGCCACGCACGGTTAGCTCTTCGTCTGTGTACTCTGGTTCAGAAAGGTAGAGTAGGGTGAAAAACTCCATCTCATTTTCTCCTCCAACTTCAAAATCGTCAGACATCGTTGTTTTACCTTTTTTTTTAAAAGGGCGTTTGACTTTCTTTCACATATATCTATCAGATATCCCTTATTAAAAGCTCATTTATATGAACATTTCATTTAGTGGAGAGTTAACTGTCCCTGCAGGTGTTTGTTTGACCCCTGATACTAGCCAGATGTGTATCAGCTGTCCCTCCTGACATTTGTTTGATGTTTCAGCCCTTGGACCACAAGCCGGTGCCCCTGCAGGCGGGTGAGGAGGCCGAGTACATGCTGGCACTCAAACAGGACTTCAGAGGAGCCATGAAGACGCTCCCGTTTTACATCCGTCCCGCTGCACCCAAAAAAGGTCAGCACGGGGTCAAGGATGAGCTCTGGCATCGTTAAGACATCCTGGACTGTAGGAAGGCAAAACGCAGTGTTTTTGAGACAGATATTTGTATTCCAAGTTTCAAACTGTAATTTATAAATTCATGGCAAATATTCACAATAAGTGTAAAGATCCCTTTCTATAGCAATGTGTGATTAGCAATTTGAAGTTATTTTGTCCTCTTGACAGATGTGGAGCGTTATTCTGACAAATACCAGAAAATTGAAACCTCTGACAACAGTCTGGAATGGAAACCAGGTGAGTGATTCATTTGTAAGTCGCTTTGGATAAAAGCGTCTGCTAAATGTAAATGTAAATGATTTATCTCAGCGATTCACTTCAGTGCTATTTTAGTATTATTTATATATTATTTTAGTTTTTAATAATATTTAAAAAAAAATAATAATAATAATAAAAAAGTTTCCATTTTAATTTCCAAAGTAATTTTGTTGCATTTGTGTGCTTTTGACATTTTTTAATAGTGTTTATGTTTAGAAAATATTTCTAAATAGCTTTAATTTATTTTTATTTTATTATCTTATTACTTACTGGCATAATGTTGATTCACACAAAAAATAATTTCGATATGCCCCTCCTTTTATTTACCAAAAAAGGGGAAAACCTGGGTTACAGTAAGATACTTACAATGAAAGTGAATTCATAAATGTGACCCGGGAGCACAAAACCAGTCTTAAGTCGCTGGGGTATATTTGTAGCAATAGCCAAAAATACATTGTATGGGTCAAAATTATTGATTTTTCTTTTATGCCAAAAATCATTAGGACATTAAGTAAAGATCATGTTCCATAAAGATATTTTGTAAATTTCCTACTGTAAATATATAAAAGCTTCATTTATGATTAGTAATATGCATTGCTAAGAACTTCATTTGGACAAATTTAAAGACGATTTTCTCAATTCTTTGATTTTTTTGCACCTTCAGATTCCAGATTTTCAAATAGTTGTATCTCGGCCAAATATTGTCCTATCCTAACAAACCATACATCAATGGAAAGCTTATTTATTCAGCTTTGAGTTGGTCTATAAATCTCAATTTAAAAAAAAATTACCCTTATGACTGGTTTTGTTGTCCAGGGTCACAAATGTTAAAATACACAATGTTTTAATAGTATAGTCACAAGATGTAAACAATATGCTTGAATATAAATCACTTACTAACCGTTTCTGTGTATAGTTACATGAAATTTTACAACTTTGTTGTCATGACGACATAAAGCCTAAACACTAAAACTGTAAAAATCATGAGAACAACTTCACAGCTCATATAATACACATTAAACGTTTTTTTAAGTATTAACAAAAAAAATTTAAAAAACAAACTAAATAGTATTTCTAAATCTATTTTTAGTTTTAGTTTTCAGTTACTACATTTTATTCAGTTATTAAATTTATAATTTCAGTTTTAGAACTTAATCTTATTTCAGTTAAGTCAACATTTTATAAATTTCATTTAGTTTTAAGTTTTTCATCTAATATTTATATATTTTTTTCAGCTTAATTTCAATTAAAGATGTTTTCAATACTTTTAGTTAACAATATCAACAGTGATTCACTTGCGTATCTTCACACTTGTGTGATCCTCTACATCCATTTGTGTTTTAGATTGGAGGCGTTTTCCGAAGGAGCTGCGCGTGAGGGAGAAGAGACCCCTGAGAGACAGTGAGTGTGTCTGATGCTGTTAAATGGCTCTTACGCTCTAATACTGGACACTGTGTTATGCTGCAGTCGAGCAGTGACGCCCAGTCCTGGAAGCATGCGTTTTTTTAAAGCCCAGATAAGGGAGCAGGTGAGGCTGATGTGCTCATGAATGAGTGTGTAAAGAGTGTGTAAAGACTCATTGGCGTCTCTGGGGAAATCAGAGACGGCTCTCAGCCGTGCTGCACACACATCACCAAAATGAAAGGATAGAGAGAAAGAGGAGATGAGAGAGGGATGAAAGTTTAGGCTTGAAGAGCGTCTGTCACCAAGAAACGAGAGACAAGATTATTTTTAGTCCTTCTGTGTCTTTTGTCAAAGGAGCTGTGATCAATGAGTTGATGTTATTATGGGAGGATGTTGCTGATGTCATTTCCACTGTCACAAACTCGGTTTTGCTTATATGGTTGCAGAAAGCCCAGCTGTTCCCAAACAAACCAAACAGCCACGAGTGAACAAAGAGGAGATCATACGCAAACTGGAGGTGCACAAATACCTGTTTCGGGGGCCACTCATGTGTAATGCACTCAAAAATAAAGCGTTTTAATCTATGTTATTACACATTTGCATATATAATGTGACAGACTGTGTGTTTCTATACAGACTCTGGAGCAGAAAGAGGAAGAGGGGAGTTCTGATGAAGAGGAGGGAGAGAAAAAGAAGCCAGAAGAGGAAGAGGCAGAGGGAGAGGAGGAGTATGATGAAGAGGAATTTGAGGATGTAAGTGACTCTTTTCTGTTGTGATATTAATCAGTATGTTTGATCTCTAGATCAACAGGGAATATAAAGAAATGGTGTTCAGTTTAGAGAAAAAATAAACCTGCAATTTGTATATTTACAATTTTAATTAAATGTATACCTAGAATGCATTTTAAGTCACTTGGATAAAATATTCTGGTCAACTGATCAATTGACTTTAAATATTCTGGCTTTAATACAAGATGGGCTCAATTGGCAGCAGAGTTATTTTAGTATTATTTATATACTCTAATACAAGGATTTATCAGTAACACTTTACACTAAGGTTCCATTAGTTAACATTGGTTACTGCAATAACTAACATTAACTTACAGAGAGCAAGAAATCGTTACAGTATTTATTAATCTTTGTTAACATTAGTTAATAAAAATATAACTATTGATAGTTCATGTTAGCTTAGGTCCCTTAAATGATATTAACAGATACAACTTTTGATTTTAATAGTTAGTAAATGTTGAAATTAACATCAACTAAGATTAATTTCATTGATAGTTCATGTTAACTAATATAGTTAGCTAATGTTAACAAATTAAACCTTATTGTAAAGTCTTACCGATTATTTATATTTTGAATTAGGTTTTATTTTTATTTTTTTCATTTTAATTTCAGTTTTAGTAATTTTGTTAAGTGCTTTTGTCATTTTATATTTTATATATATTAGTTAGCATTATTTTTATTTCAGTTTTAGTAATTTTAGCACTTCAGTTAAAACTTATTTTATTCCAGTTAGTTGCCAAGGCCACATTTAATATTTTAATTGAATATTTATATTTCATTTCCTCTTTATTTCAATTAATGGGTTTTAGTTAACAATAACAGATTGGCAGTATATGTGGCATAATGTTCTATTGATTTTATTATTTCAACTTGTCCCACCGTTTATTTACCAAAAAAGGGGTAAAATCTGGGTTACAGTGAGAAGCTTCACATTTCTGCTTTTAAAACCTATTAAAAAAGTCCCCCATTTACTTCTTCTAAGTGCCTTGATTTTTGCCTTTTTAGAATACAACGGATGAATTGAAATTGTGTGGTAATCAATATTATGCCACAAATGCTACTGATTGAAGTGAACTTGTATTAAACTAACATTCAGTATAGGTTTTAGCCAATTAATCCTATGTATGTTTGTAACAGGAAACAGATTACATCATGTCCTACTTTGACAATGGGGAGGAGTTTGGAGGAGACAGTGATGAAAATATGGATGAAGCTGTTTACTGAAGCAGGTGATGGCGGCTCCATAGCGTCCTCCTCTGGCCAGTGAGTGTCGCTGGAACTGCTTTGTCCCTCAGGAACGTTCTGGGCTGGATCATTATGTTTGGCAGCTGATGTTGAAATCTGTATGCAGTGGATTTCCTCTCATCCGATCGGTTGGCAGGGCGGCTGATTGCTGACGAAGAGCGTTTGAATCTGAGAGCCATGGCTGGAGGACACAGAGAAAGACACTGAGGCACAAACTTCTCCCTTAATGCAGCTATACGTTCTTAGAGCTTTGTAAATGATTATTAGTTCATAACTGAAATTATTTTTTAGAATCTTACTTTTAAAACATGTTTTAGTGTACGTTTTAGACCGTTGTATTTGTCTAAAATAGCTTTTATACATCTTAGATTTGTGAAAAAAGACCAGTAAATGTTTATTTTAGATGATAATTACATATTTTATAAATTCTCATGTCAAGTAGTTGTAAATATTTATGTTATTGCCATTTTATGCAATAAAGTCACACTGTGTCAAGACTTTGTCTCGTAGATAGATAGATAGACAGATTGATTGATTGATTGATTGATTGACAGTTCTGTCATGTGGCCTGTAGGGGGTGTGATACTACATTAAAGTACTTATGGCACAATCATTTCGACTTCACTGTTTATGTGTAAATGTATAATCAATATTCACACACACATACCCAATAACCATACATAATTTTGAATGGAAACATTTAAGTGTATAAACCTTTGCCTGCATTAACAAAAACTGAGCACTTGAGAATAACATATTTGTATCTTGAAATAATGAAATTGGATTATTTCTTGAAATAACGATTTCCTCTCATCCGATCGGTTGGCAGGGCGGCTGATTGCTGACGAAGAGCGTTTGAATCTGAGAGCCATGGCTGGAGGACACAGAGAAAGACACTGAGGCACAAACTTCTCCCTTAATGCAGCTATACGTTCTTAGAGCTTTGTAAATGATTATTAGTTCATAACTGAAATTATTTTTTAGAATCTTACTTTTAAAACATGTTTTAGTGTACGTTTTAGACCGTTGTATTTGTCTAAAATAGCTTTTATACATCTTAGATTTGTGAAAAAAGACCAGTAAATGTTTATTTTAGATGATAATTACATATTTTATAAATTCTCATGTCAAGTAGTTGTAAATATTTATGTTATTGCCATTTTATGCAATAAAGTCACACTGTGTCAAGACTTTGTCTCGTAGATAGATAGATAGACAGATTGATTGATTGATTGATTGATTGACAGTTCTGTCATGTGGCCTGTAGGGGGTGTGATACTACATTAAAGTACTTATGGCACAATCATTTCGACTTCACTGTTTATGTGTAAATGTATAATCAATATTCACACACACATACCCAATAACCATACATAATTTTGAATGGAAACATTTAAGTGTATAAACCTTTGCCTGCATTAACAAAAACTGAGCACTTGAGAATAACATATTTGTATCTTGAAATAATGAAATTGGATTATTTCTTGAAATAACCATAACACCCTTTCCTGCATAAATAACAGGACATTCTGAAATGTTATATATATTATATTCTAAATAGAAACACTATAAATATAAAAGCTTCATTTATCATGGAAGAAGCAACTGAAAAATGTTTTCCTGAACAAAATGGCCTTTTCCTACAGAGCACCTGAACTAAACACCTGAATCCCTGATTAACCTCATCATGAACCTGTATATGAGTTGCTTTTGTAAAGCTGACTAACATAAAATGTGTTCTCAATACATATATATGTGTGTGTGTGTGTGTGTATATATATATATTGTGTGTGTGTGTGTGTATTATGCAATTAAAGTACCACAGTAAATGTCCTTGGTTAAGTTGAATCAAAGGTCTCACTCTCATTACCTTTGATTTATTGTGTATGACTCTTTCACCTCTCTGGAATTTCATTTGACCAGATACACCTGAAAAGAATCCAAATAGAACATTTCATGTTCTTTTGAGCAAATGATTAACAGAGGAGAAAGAATTGTTCTTGATGTGACTCTTCATCCCGAGAACACTCCACCGGTTGGGCAAATTTGCTGAAGATGAATTTAGTAGCTGTCTCAGGCATGCTTTACAGAGGACAGGCAGAGGAATCCTTCCAAGAATAAGTCTGGGCTTTTATTCAAGGAAGCAGAAGGCAGTTCATCTCCAGTGGAAGATTACAGCAGCTGGAGATGACTGACATAAGAGCAGTCAAAAGAATGTGCTGCAGTGATATATTCACACTCAATGCCAACAATCAGAGGAGAAATCTAGAATGCTCAATTAAGTCAAAGATATCCTGATTTTAGTCTAGCTACACTGTTGAGCTCAGGGTTAATGACAAATGTCAATAATAATGTACAGCATGTTTATGCTCAGGAAATAGTGCCATTTTTGGCAGAAAATTTGGGGACCTCCATAAGAGGGCAAAATTCAGTGGTCATAGAATACAAATTCTAAATCTGTTTTCCCAGTCTTCAATATATGACTAGAGCCTTACAGTGTACCAATAGTTTAATATACTAAATATTAATATGTATCAAAATAGAACATTTCTCTATTTCTCAAATATAATTGTACCATACCACATTTACAATCTGTGCTTTTATAACGAACTATTGAGAACAAAATGGACAAAAATTCGACATCAATGTGTTATGTTTAAATAAAATTTTCAATTGGAAGTTTTTTAATTAAAAAATTAAATGCATTAAAATGTAATGGTGGTAATTGGGGACATGCAAATAGGCCAATATTCAGAAATCAAAAATGTTTAAATCCTGATTTATTTTAAAGGGGTCATATGATGCTATTTTAAAGATCATTATTTTGTGTATTTGGTGTAACAGAATATGTTGACATGCTTTAATGTTGAAAATCATTATTTTTCAAATACTGTACATTATTGTAGGTCCTCTATGCCCCGCCTCTCTCAAAC